CGTAAAGGCCCCTGTGAGGTGCACAGCATCTGCATGTATGGCATGGGGTGGTCCCACCTGTCAGCCCACATCATAAATTTTATTAGTATTAGAAATAAAAATAGGAGTCAGGCAAGGATTCAAACCGTTGACCTATAGTCAGCCAAGAGCACGGCTAGCCAACGCACCAGATATCATATAACGATACTCAGCCTTTCTATCTTTGTTAAATAACGTGAAATAAGAATTCTAATTCAAAAGAAATAAGATACAGCCGTGGGATTTCGTACCAGCGACCTGACGGTTACCACGAGGAGGACCTAGCAGATACTATACAACAAAGCAAAAAAATGTGAATTATAAAATGTACATATAATTATAAATACGTTTTCATTTGAGAATCTGCAGTCCGAGGCACACTAGGCTAATTTTTTGAACATATATTTATATTAATTCAAATCTACATATCTAATATTTAGAAAACACATAAATTTTATTCAAACAACATAAAAACATTAAAGCTTGCGTAATTTTATATACAACATGAATATTTTATTAAATAAACTTGTTCATTTTTTGAACTGATATGATAATTTTTTAAATAGACATATTTCCTAAAATTACTTTGATATTTTATTTAATATGAAAAACTTTTTAATTATACAATTAATTTGTAATTTAATTTCATGAATTTTTAAAAATTAATAGGTGAGCATTGTTTTAGTCTAATATATTTATTTATATGTATATTATTTATAATTACAATTTATATTTCTTTACAACTTACAAAAAGTGAAAAAATAACATAAATTGTAGCCCAGGAGACCGTTCTGTTATAGACATAAACTGTAGCAATTATATTTACACATGTGAGTACATAGTTGGAGTGGCACGCCCTCCTTATTGTTTTAGTTGGGTAGCTGGCTTGAAACACTGTGGGCGTAACCCTTTTTACGATTAAGATTCTTTAGTTATATAACTTAATTCAAATATATAAAACGTGTGTATGCTTCTATGTCGTGATGTGAGCTCTTGACTGATGGTTAGCTGCACATTCTATTTAGACCAAGGTTACCGGTACGAATCCCTCGGCTACATATTTTTCATTCCAATAAAATTTGTGATGTTTCGCGGACAAGTGGGACCCATCGGATGCAATACACCTCACATGGGAGATTTGCACCGTATTTGTACGTTTGAGCCAAGTTTTTGCACCACTTTAATGTATGCCACAAGTTCTAGCACTAAAGTGATCGTTTACGACAAGTTCTAGCACCGCCGATGTAATTGACTCTAAAATTAAGCACAGTTTACATGAAAGACTTGAAAATAGGGAACGATTAAAATTGGCCTACCGGCTAGACATCGTATCGGTTGGCTAGCTGCGTGCATGCATCTAGCTAGCCCCACGTGTGGAGTGCCTCTCATCCCCTTATCCCCTCCCATCCACACGTTTCCTATCCTTTCTCTTTCCCCACACAACCGGCAGAGGGACATGCTGGAACCGGCAGGGCGGTGAGCTCCATGATGGTCGCGCCATGCTAGAACCAACATGGCGACATGCTGAAACTGGCATAGTGGCGAGCTGTGATGGTGATGGAGGTGCACCCGTGACACTACTGCAGCCTGGGGGTGCTGTGAGGACGGCGACGAGTATACTACATGCTAAAACGTTAATGACAAGATGTTGAGATAGCGACCACACTGCTACAAGGTGGCGGCGATGGGTGCGCCATGTTCTATGGCGGGACACCAGTTAGATGTTGCACCATGGCAATGGCGCTGCTACTACGAGCAGGGAGCAACGAGTTGGAGGATGATGAGGACATGGCCGTGAGGCGGCGCATTTGTTCGTCTCTCTCGAGGCCTCTTTCCCTCTTGCTTGCTTTTTTCTTTCCGAATAGTCCTCGGGCAGCGCTATGTCCCACTTATAGCGAGACCTAGCTGGCTCTCGCATCAGGCACTTCACTAAATGGGCCAGCCTAGGTGCGCGGGGACCACCACCTCATTTTTAGTTTTATTTTTCGTTTTCTAGTCTCATTTACACTTCCAAATATAATAACAAAATATATTGCAAAATACACATCTGAAAAAAGTTAACCAAGAATTTAAAAAATGTTAAATGTGTATACTGAAAATGTATAGAAAAAAATACAGTGTGTGGGAAAAAAGTTGATCATGTATTTAAATTTTTTTAATCATGCATTTGAGAAATAATTAACAAGTATTTGAAAATATTTCATCAAGCATTAATCATTTTAAATGTGTATAGTAAAAATGTTGACCATGTGTTAATTTTTTTATCAAAGTTGTATTTGAAAAAAATTAATCAAGCATTTAAAAATGTTAAAATATGTATAGAAAAATGTTGACCATGTATTAAAAATATTAATTTGTATAAAGAAAATGTTTCAGGAAACAACCTCTTGCAGAAATGTAAGAAAAAACTGCGTACAATAGGCCCAAAGTGGTCGGGACCCTTCCCCGGACTCTGCGCAAGCGGGAGCAACATGTGCCGGGTTGCACTTTTTTTTTAAAAAAGAAAATGTTTCTCATGTGTACAAAAATGTATGCGCAAAATATACAACATATGTGAAAAAAGTTGATAATGTATTCAGAAAATGTTAATAAAGCATTTGAAAAAATGTTAACCAAGTATTTGAAAAATTTTAGTCAAACATTTGAAAAATGTTAAATGTGTATAGAAAAATTGTTGGCAATGTATTAATAAAATCTTGCGGGAGGTGATGGCGGGTTTCATGCTTGGCGAGCTCGCCGGGAAGAACTAGCTAGAAGTCGGTATAAATCTTGCGGGAAGTGATGGCGGGCTTCTTGTTGTAAGGCACTGGCTCAACTGACTCAAGGTTCACAAAGTTACAATGGCGAGCCATGCATGGCCAGATGGCAATGGTCCTATAGAGGCTACTAGACAAATATCAAAGTCCAGTATTATCCACGAACAAAATCTATCTCAACTATTTCTCAAACAAATAATCTTAACTGGCGTCTTGTGATTGATAACCCACCATTGTCAGTCTACATACCAAGATTAAACATGCGTCACTAGCTCATGTGTTTTTCTCTTTATAGACAGGAAAGCAAGTGCATTAGCGCACATGGACACCTAGGATTTTTGTGCGATATGATCAAACAGAAACCCCATGCACCCGCTCGCCGGAGCGAGGTGTCGCCGCGAGCTCATTCTTGACCGGTAGACGCCATGATACTTGTGCTCGTCTTGGGATATAACCAAGAGTGGCAAGGCCCTCGGGCTGCAGGTTCGACACCAAAGATATGATCCAGTCAGTTCCCCTTGGTGGTGTTAGGGACAACGCCACTCTTGTCAGCAGGGCCGGTTACTGCCCTTGCCGGCAGCGCCGCCCCACGCACCAGCTCCTCCCTTTCAGTTGGTTTTTTCGTGCACCATTAGTGTTCCCTAGAATGTTGTGGACTTGTGGTGTATCAGTAGGCCAGGAGTGCAGCCATAAAGCCACAGAGCGTCCAGATCACACCAGGAGCTGTTATTTCGTTGGCGCCAAAAAGGCCGAAACTCGGCTTGTTGACCCACGATTCGACCATGTCCTGCTACATGACCAACAATGTACTATTAGTTACAGTTTCATATGGTTAGCCTCATTTCTCGGCTGCATTTGGTTTTTTCGCCATGGTCGTAACGAGTTGTATAAAGATACAATCAACCCCATAGCATGTATGCCTATTGTTTTAGCCACTATTCCATGCTAGTAGGCCTGGGCCTAGCGGCGTGCGACTTGTGCGATGGCACAATGCCTTCAAATTGTTTCATAAAATTTCATGTTCTTAAAAAATTGTTCTCAAATTGAAAAAATGTTTGTGTTCTAAGAAACTCTTCAGAATCTCAAAACAATTCCTTTTTTTTTCAAAATTTGTTCATAGAGTGAAAAATGTTTGCATTTTAAAAAATTGTTCCTGGTCTCAAAAAATGTTTGGGTTTCTTCAAGAAAAAGTTCAGAAAGAAAGCTTGGAAATTAAAAAAATTGTTCGGTTTTTCAAAAAAATGTTGGAAATTTCAACAAGTGTTCGCGTTTTGAAAACTTGAAAGAATTTCGTGTTTTCAAAATATGTTCACTGTTTTCGAAACAATTTGAACCGCACTACAGTAAGCCTCATGCTTTTCTATGTGCGCCACACCCTCGATGTACTCCCGTTGGGCACGACCACGATCAGGCAAGGGCCCTGGATTCTGTAAAAATAAAAGGCAAGGGCCCTAGAATCTGGAAGAAAGCCTGCCTGGACAACTCGACGAGTGATGGGGCATCTCCATGTCAGACCGAGTGAGCAGCGGGGGAGAAGGCCGTTGAGCCTGCCGCCACCGGTTTGGTAGCCGGACAAGGGAACTTTCTCGCCGGACAACAGCGTGAGCTATAGGAACATGAGCTCGCCGTTGCTGTGGCCGAGGGCGGCGACACGCGAATGGAGACCTGGCTGGTACTTTCCCATATAGAGAGAGATCGAGGTGGAGCTGGGTTCGTTGGCGACCTGGATGTCCATGAGGGACGCCTAATCGTCTTTTTCGTACAAACTGGTATGATGTCGTTCTCAATCATGATTAATTTACAAGAATAGTGAACTAGTATATCTAATATAAAACATAGTTTTAAATAGCCGGCTATAACTCCGTTATAACCCTTTCAGTAGGGTGCCGCTAAATGGTTGCCTTCACAAATAGCCTGTTATAGCTCCGCCTCTGCTATAGCTGATTTGGAGGCCCGCCACTATTTTCCATAGCCCGCTATTTAAAACATTTAAATCGGAGAGTAAGCTATCTGATTTCTTAGTTTCCAGAACTCACTCATGATTCAATCTTTATGGACTGTCATGGTAAATCTTTCAATGGCACTTTGATTAGGCCCCATTTCAGAGTTTGCCACAGGGCCTGAATATTATATGCCCGACCCTACATGGTAATCTTCAACTCACCATAAAGTCTAGTGAGAGTTTAAGTCTATACTCAATATCTAGTTGATTTAAGGTACCTCCACCTAATCAGAATCCTCGGAATCTGGATAGTCTACAAGGCCCTCAACCGGAACCTTACTTATGTTGGAGACTTGGTCATGATGATAATTGTTCCTGAATGTGATCGCATGTGCAGCTCTTGAATTGTATGTTTGAGCAGCAACTTGATCATGACTAGATGAATTTGAGCCATTAGCTTCATCAACGATGCCATCTTCTCCTGTTATATGTCCAATAACTTCACATGGTTCGTCACTAGAAGGACCACTGGAATACTGGAACTCGTCAAAAGCTGCCCCAAGTTGTAAGGCTCTTCGCATTGCTGCAGATACATCAACGCCTTGAGTGTCTCCAAACAAGCTTGGCATCTGAGATGAATTAGAAAGACTAATATATCACTCAAGTTTTAATTTTATTTTCTAAGAATATAATATATAAATAATTTTCCATTGTTAGCCCACCATTGTTCTTTGGACTACGTCTTCTGAATGATAGCCGGGCGTGTAAGGGGTTGTATGGCGAGTCTTCACGGATTTAGAACTTGAGGCACAATTCCCGTGGCTATCCATTAACGTTGCCATGTTTTCTTCCCTTTCCATGCGTTTTCGATGTTTCTTGAAAATATTAAATACACAATTGTTAGTAGACAATCATTCAAAGATGACAACTTTAGCTTCATAAATTAGGTACTAGAAAACACTATATAATATCAGGCCTTTTGTTTTGTTGTTCAATTCAATTTTTTTGTTTCACTCTTCATCTGTTTTGTTAAGTTACATACAAAAGCATTTTATATTAATTTTTCAAATACAAGACACTTTGGCTTATTTCAGTCAAATTAAATGTTTGACTTAGCTAATTTGAAATGACTCCATACATGCTCCAAAGTTCAATAAATGTATATTGGGAACACACCTGTAGATGCGCAGAAATTTGTTTCGTCGTAACAGTGTCCACGTTCATGATTATCTTTATCTTGCTGGGCGATGCATCTGAAATGAATTAACAAATATAATTTCATATTATCGATTTTAAATCCAGAAGGCTAATCCCGAAGTGAAAGTGCTTGGGCCTAAGATGGGTAGTTACTTGCTCCAAGTATTTGAAGAGCATATAAAAACTTGCTCTCTAGGAAAGGTATCCATTTGAGTTGAGTGGTCGTTTTAGTTCCATCCTTTTGCTGTGCTACGGACTCTCCAACTTCTTTTCCATGTTGGGCTTTATCTCCAACACCTGCGTGTGCACAACATAATACTTTAATATCTGCAGTTTCATGTTTTCGTGCAATCCAAAGGAAGACAAGACTTATTTTACTGGACACAATTCGTGTTACTACAACATTGAGAAAATTAATATAATGTTCTGGAAAGCATGCACCAAAAACCGACGTCTCTAACTTTTACTACTATTACATATAGCTAATTTCCCGTGCATTACAACGGAGGCATACATATTCTAGCGATTAAACACCAATCGTGTCCGACATATACCTTACACCCATCATATTCTAATGCATGAAGTGATTTGATCTGATTTGACTGAGTTAATGCAAAATATTTGATTTGATTTGATTCAATTAATGCAAAAGATTTGCTTTGATTTTCTTTTATTGCCCGTGTCTGACATATAGCTAGAATGACCGATTTGATTTGTTTGAGTTAAAGCAAACCTTACACCCACCAAGAGGGGCACTGCAAAATATTTACTTTGATTTGATTGGATTGATGCTTGATGTGAGCAAGGGGAGGCTTTACCAATGAACATACAACCACCTCACCTTAATAGTAGAGATTCATTCCATTTCAAAGCACTTATCTTTTGAACCTCTTAAACTTTTGCCAAAATAATGGTCGTTCTACATTTTTTTGGGGGGCGGGGGGAGGTCAAACTCATGGCTAAAGTTTGACACAAAATGTGTGCTCTTGTAAACATGGAAGGAGAGAGTAATTATTTTCCTTGGTGAAGAAAAATAGATAGACATGAGAAATAATTCAAGGGAAGCAATGATATTTTACTTTTACTCTTACTTTTTGTGCCAATCTATAAAAAGAAATCTACTTTGAAAGATGTATTGTACTCCAAAGATTATTTGGATTGGCCAAGTGAAAAGTTGTACGTCAATAGATTTTCAATGAACCATTAGATTATAGTGTTAAGTTATTTCGTACAAACTATAAGCATAAATACTTGGTCATAAGATGTTAATTTTGACCTTGAAATAGATACTTCATCCTGTTCAGCCTAAGAACTTTTACATCAAGATGTTGCCACATATTGTGAATGGTATTAGCATCAAGAGGCTTCTTCGCCAAAAAAACGAGCACCAAGTTGAATAGATCTCTTTATTGTGTACATTGTTGTTTCTGTTGACATCACTGCTTAAAAAAAATAAAAGACTTGTCAACGTCAAAGAAGATGCATGTGTGCAGTTGGAGACAAATAATTCGTGAACATACTAATCACTTGAAGGTTTCTATGCATATCTTTGGCAGCTTCCAGGAACTGAAAGCCATTCAACTCTTCCATGTCCACTGCTGCCATGACAAAATCAACATCATGTGCTTTCTTTTCAAGAATACCAAGTGCTTCTATGGGACTTGTATATACTGCCACTGGAAAGAGAAGATCTACTTCACTATCTGAATGTAACGACATCTCAGAACATGAGAATAAATGGTTTCCACGAAACATGAAAAGGTGTATATTTTCATAAAGATGAATATAGTTCCTCTTTCATGGGATGTAGAAAACCTTACCATAATAGTTCAATTCAGAGAGCATGGATTTTGCAGAGTTGGCATGGAACTCATCTTCATCAATGGCCATCACGCTAAGCGCATCTGAGGGCCGTCCTCTTGCTCTTTCTGCCATGGGGTTTCTCAAAACTAGAGCTCTATTTGCTTCTATTTTTGCGTATGTGTGAATGTGGCAACTGGGCATTGGTGGCTATTTATAGCTCAACAAGGTTTCTTCCGTTTCACATAGTCATATGTATAATATATATAAAAATAACATAATACATTACTATTTTGTTTGCAAAAGAGGTAATAGCACAAAGTGGGCATGTGTGGTCCAGGCATCCTACATGGTGACAGACATGGCGGGATAGA